CCTCTTGCAGCCACTGGAGTCGCCCCCTGCTGGCCATTAGAAAAAATGCAGGTTTAAAGCACCTTCTCAGACCTGCAGGCTACGTCCACCTTCTTTATACAGCCTGTGACTGTAATCATGAACTCATGCTGTGTCTTTGCTGCTTGTGTCTCCACAGTCATGGAGCTGTTGTTCAGCGAGGAGCTGGGTTTGGTTCTGGAGGTTTCGCAGCTCGATGTAGAAACAGTGTGTCAGAGATACAGCGACGCAGGCGTGCAGTGCCATCGCGTCGGCAGAACCTGCGGCTTCGGACCAGAGGCAGTGGTGAGACATCAACCTCAGTGTGTCTTCACAAGATTCATCTCATCTGTGATGACCGTTGATTCCCCTCACCTGTCCTTTAGGTCAGTGTTCGTGTGGATGGACAGGAAGTGCTGAGAGAGCCGCTGCCTCACCTCAGAGCATTATGGGAGGACACCAGTTTCCAGCTGGAGCGCCTCCAGGCCGATGAGATCTGTGTGAAACAGGAAGAGGATGGGCTCGCCAAGAGGACACAGCCCTACTTCAGACTGACCTTTGACCCCTCTGAAGTGCCCAGCATCAGCCAGCTCAGTAAGACCAAACATACCATTTACAGTGATTTGGTGTTTTCTGAGGCAGAGTCCTGCGTCAGGTTGGGCACCCTGAGTCACCCGCAAAACAAGGGATTCACGGGTGGTGTTTTTTCCAGACTTTCTTCCCAGAATCAATTCTGGGAGAAAAAAAGCACACACAGGTTGGATCACTGTCGCTGGATCATAATTATTACATTAAAAGACAAAAGTCTTCAACGCAGTCAAGTTTAAATCGTTGAGTCATTTTAACCACTAAGTGCTTGATATGTGATTCTTTAGGTGCAGGCCAGCCTTGTGTAGCTGTGGTCAGGGAGGAGGGCAGTAATGGAGATCGAGAGATGTCTGTGTCTCTGTATATGGCGGGCTTTGAGGTAACTATTTAAAGCTTCATCAGGTGGATATATGTTGACCCTGGCTGTGTTGCTGGTGTGTGTGACTCCTGTCTGTGTCTTTGTGTAGGTGTGGGATGTCAACATGCAGGACCTGTGCTCCGGCTCTCTGACTCTGGAGTCTTTCAAAGCCGTCGTGTTCGTCGGTGGATTCAGCTACGCAGACGTTCTGGGATCAGCTAAAGGCAAACAACAGCACTACATACACATGCTCACAGACCACTTTGATATACAAAGCCTTTTTGTGTAACACCATCCATCCTTTATAACAGGCTGGGCTGCTACTGTTGCATATAACCCCAAGGCCAAGGCTGAGTTCGATCGCTTCCGGCGGCGGGATGACACACTAAGTCTGGGAGTGTGTAATGGCTGCCAGCTGCTGGCCCTGCTGGGCTGGGTGGGAGAGGGCGAGGACGGAGCAGGTACGAGGAAAAAGGCACAATAATAATAACAACAGGGAAAACAACACTGTAGTAATGAACGAGACGACGCAGCAGCAATGTGTGAAGACATCATCACAGAGACCTTTTGCAGAGCCTAGTTTAAAATGCTTCTTTCCATTCTCCCCCCAGAGAGTGAAGTGGTGCTGACCCATAATAAGTCTGGCAGGTTTGAGTCTCGATTCATCAGCGTTGGGATCCAGGAGTCTCCGTCCGTCTGGCTCAGAGGCATGGAGGGCTCAGCTCTGGGAGTCTGGGTCGCACATGGAGAAGGTAGAGTATTGTAACATCGATCGTCTTTAATTTGTCACACAAGTTGCCAAAACTGGTGCTTGTAGTTGTAAATTCTGATAATAACACCAAGCTGTGACAGATTAATGAGTCTGTTCAGGACAGAAATGCAGCATTGTATCTTACGCCTACCACACAAGAAGACTTTGCAAAGACATCCTCTCACATCTAAAGACAATGCGAGTTTTTAGTCACACACTTTAGGATTTTGCAAAGACTGGAGGATTTTGCAGGGTCACTGTTTACAGACTACAACTAGATTCCTTTTGAGATAACTTCCCATCCTGCTCCTGGTGGAAAATATTACACCAAACTTCCCTCAAGAAATGTGACATACTAACAATTCCTTACACGTTAGCAAAAATACACAACTCTTGAAAGATAAGATAAAAGGCGTCATATGTCGACAGTATCTTTGTCAATACAGCATCAATATAATCCATGCAGATAAACTCTGTTTGTGAACAAACTTTACATTTTGGATTGTGCCTCCTCTACCTCTACATCAGCCTCCGTTGGCAGCGGTCATACTTCAGTGGGAGGAGACTGTGGGACTGAGACGTGAACTGTTTCAACAATTAAAGATTTCTCACTAAATTAAGAGCTGGATGGTGGAACAGATGCATGTTGAATTAAACACTGGCACTGTTCACTCTAAGGTTGGGCAATATGGCCCTAAAATGATACTGCGATATTTCAGGGCATTTTTGCGATAATGATTTTCTTGATGCTGTGACAAATTAGTACAAAAAAATGTATTATTGATTTATGAAAATGATCTCTCATTTCTTTAGTTTGTGAACAACAACAGTAACAGATTCAGATTCTGTGGTTCAGCTAAATAAAATCTACCACAATTAAACAGTCCCCAAATACAGAAAATGTCCCCTGGGATCTATATATATAAATCAACAGGTGATTTCCTTCTCTGTTTTTATGCTCTGCCATTTCTCCTCTAATCATCACGCTGTGACCTGTGACAGGCTGTTACGATACCACAACTATCACACATTCACATGTATGTAGTTTTTTTGTTGCGTCACAAGCATCACGTAGGTTTACATTACCAAAGGTTTCTGACAGAATCAGAGAGGAGAGGGAGAGACGGTGTGCTGTTGCCAGAGGAGCCGCTGAATGAGTTCCCTCTGAGCGCTAACTCACAAAAAGAGTCTGAGAAGTCCGGAGCTGTTCATAAAACATTCAGGACGCCACAGTTTATTCCACACTACTGAAGCTGCTGCTCTTTGAACCACCGCGGAGTTGGCAATAATTTAGCTTTCAGCCAACACGTCATAATATCGCAAGTAGGGCTGCTCGATTATTGACCAAATATTTTGGTCGAGCAAGAGTGAAAGCATTGAATTTCCCCTCAGGGGGATTAATAAAGTAAATAAACTTAAACTTAAAATTGAAATCACGATTATGCGACGCATGTAATGACTTATATTGTTTACACGACAGCATGTCATTTCTGTCTCTACATGGTTGCACTTACAGTTCTCCTCTGCTCTCTGTATCGCGCACGGCAGAGTTCGTGAGGATTTCATTAACTTTGAAATCGTTTGACCTCAAAATCATAATCGCGATCACCCGACGATTAATTGCACAGCCTTAATTGCAAGTATCATAATACAAATTTTTCACATGATATTAAAAATTCTACCAGTATAATTGCGAACCAGATGATATGGCAGGACTGTAGTTCACTCCACAACTCCACCAGTTTCTGCTCCTCCATCACAGTTTGAGAGCTCAGAGTCTTGTTCATGTACGTGCACCTCCTCCATGTTTACTGTCTACCCTTTTTGCTGCGTCCTGGTCAGCGGTGTAGTAGTAATTGATGAGGTGGGTGTACTACTAGGTAGATAGGTAGGTTACTGATGAGGAAGTGGGTATACTCTCCTGTATATTCCAATGGCTATTTAGCTGATAGGTGGGTATACTGTAACTGGATAGAAAAAGGAGTGGGTATACCCCGTATACCTGAGTATACCCTCCACTACACCACTGGTCCTGGTCAGTGCTGGAAAGAGCGCAGAAGACTAAAAACTTTCAATACGGGGCGTCGGTGGCTTAGTGGTAGAGCAGGCGCTCCATGTACAAGGCAGTTGCCACAGCAGCCCGGGTTAGAGTCCAGCCCGTGGCCCTTTGCTGCATGTCTCTCCCTCTCTCTCTCTCTCTCCCCTTCACACTTAACTGTCCTGTCCATTAAAGGCAAAAAATGCCCAAAAAAAATCTTGCTAGTAGCAACAGTCATTACACTGTTGCTATGTAGCCCAGCGTTGAAGTGAAGTGGCTGATTTTAACATTTCTTTTAACTTATTTGGAGAGTAGCTGTAAGGATTTTGAGGAATGGGATGCCGCTGAAGAATAAGAATACGGACTTTGTCTGCCAAAAACAAAAGAACATTATCCCTTACTTACACCAAACGTTCAAGAGAGCGCACCAGCTGAGGTAAATGATTTTATTCCCACACTGAAAATTTGTCCGTAACAGTGAAGCCGTTTGGTGTAAGGTCTGCAGTGTTTGAGCACAAAAAGGTTACTCAGTGTGAAACTTCTGAACTTGTGCAACAGTGCTGACTCATGACTCACAGGTCAGGATGTTATGCAATCAACAGCTGTGTGTCATATTGATTTTCCCCAAAACCTTTTCTCTACACAGGTCTGATGCAATTCCGTAGCTCCGTGGCGCAGGATAAGGTTATTTCTGGTGGGCTCGCCCCCATTCGTTACCTTGACGACCAGGGTCAGCCCACTGAAGAGTACCCTCTGAACCCTAACGGCTCCCCGCAGGGCATCGCAGGGCTCTGCTCCAGAGACGGGAGACACCTGGCCATGATGCCTCACCCGGAGCGCTGCACCCTGAGCTGGCAGTGGCCCTGGGCCCCGAGGGACTTCAGACGGTCTCTCACACCGTCACCTTGGCTACGTATGTTCAAGAACGCAGCCGCCTGGTGCAGCAAAACAGAGTGATAGTACTCTGTTTACATTTCTGGTGCGGTCAGAGTAGTATTACTGTCTTTTTGGAGGTGGTGGGTCATTGAACCTGTAAGGCCTGATTACATTTCTCAATCTCTCACTACACCTTTTTACTTCCTGTGGTACTTTGTCTGTTGCATTATTACAGATGCCTGCTGGGATACTTTATGACTTGATTTTGTTATGAACCAGTCCAGTCTGCTGATGTTATCAGTTAAGAAATGGAATTTGCTAATAAATAAATAAATAATGAAACAGCAGAAGCATGTGCAGTGTGTCATGAGATAAAATAAAGGCCACGTAAGTCAATAAATAATTTTTATTTTACACAAAAAACACAAAGTCATACAATTTCAAATATTTACAGATGTTAATATTACAGTACTGACATGACAGCTTCTTAGAGGAATAAAAATGACACCATGGACATTTTTTCTGGGAAAAAAAATAAAATATAAAGGATAAAACAATTTAAACCAAAGACTCTTTAATATGGATTAAACAGCTCCCTGACTAAACACCCTGGGCCTCAGAAACCTATGGTGTGTAGGACTGAGTGGATCAACTGAAACTTCTCACAAGTGCCAAATGTTTAGAAGAACCACAAAGCGAATGGTCCTGTCTAGAGCCAGTGTTTGGTTTGTCCAATCTGGGCTACTGTAGAACAACATGGCGGACTTTGTGTAAGAGGACCTGCTGATATAAACAGTTCAGTCTAATGTGACAAAAAGAGAAGACTCTTATTCTTAGGTGATAATTATACACTACTGAAAACAGTAATTATTATGTTCCATTTCTGCCATCATATCCCCCCAAACCTTCCACACTGGACCTTTAAGGAACAAGAGTGTGTAAGGACAGCTGAGCCAGCACACTGCGTGACATTGTATTTTAGATACCACTCTTGTAGGCTCTGTAAACACTCGACAAACAGGCCTGAAGTCCACCGTCTGAGAGGCTCAGACGGCGTCTAACATCTCGACTGTTCCACACCGTGCTGTTGTCAATATTCTTGCATCCACTAATCCAACTAGCTGCAAGAAATCCAATGAAAGTCCATGTCAGACAGCTTGTACCGACACGCCGGCAGCATCTGTCTACAGTGAATCCCCCATTACTCCGTGTGAGGTCGCAGCATTCGCAGAGCGTCCTCCTCTCTCTGGTGCCATTTGCTGGTTGATGTTGATAACACAGGTAAGGAGCAGGATGACCACCACCAGGTCGTCAAGGACCCCCAGCAGTCCACACAGGGAGGGGTCTGTTTCCAGGGGATCTGATGAGGAGGAGACGGGGTCTAGAGGAGGGTAGGAGATGGACACCACGGTCCCCACACAGCACAGGGCCACCCTGAAGAAAAACAACCACACGAGTCCTCCCATGGTGCCCAGGCCCCGCGCCAGTAACTGCAGGAGAAGTGGCGCGTCACACAGGTAGTCTGTTACCTGGAGGGGTCAGTGTGCAGAAGAGAAGACGTGTCAGAGAGGAAAGCTTAATGAATGGTTCTAGATAGAAACATTCACACACGATAAAAGAGAAGGGAGAAACATTTTTGCAGCACACACACACACACACACTCAAATTTTCCTTTGTGGTTCCTGTATTTAGTTGAATTCAAATATACTGAGATTTCATATCTCCCTCAAAGGGACAGTTTACTGTTGAGTCCTTCAAATGTATTATTTTTGGCGCTTTGAGCACCACAAGCCGAGCGCCATCTAGTTGTATTATACTGGAGAGGAGGCAGCTGATATCTCCAGCACTCAGGTGAGAGGAAAAACATGTATACTTTAATTTAGGGGAGCTCTCCCTTTAAAAGTGTGTGGATAAAAAATAAGCTATTCAGTATCTATTTAAACTCAAATCTCAGGTGCCAAACTTCGAAGACTGGTGTGCTTTAACAACACCTTTTATCAAAAAGCTCCACCGTAAGATTATGTGAAAGAGATCCGTGTGGGAAAGGAAGGTGTGTCAGTGCGAGGTGTGTTAATCTGACACCTCCATTGTTGGTGGTTGTTTACAATAAATCCTTGAGGTTGCATAAGTGGTATTCCTGTTACTAAATCTATTGTCAGAGGGAATGCTGGAGGAATTCTCATCTTTCCCATGATCTAATCTGATGTGGCGTTCAAGGCGATTAAGAGAAAGTTGAACCACCTGATACAGACACAAGCAGAAGGGGAGATAACAGAGACAAATACCTTTAAGGATAGTTCAATAAGAGAGTACTGACCCTTCGTGGGGCTCCAGAATAACGTTTGTTGTAGTCTGTGATTTCCCCAAGAACCTCCTTTGACTGATGGTCTGATCGACTCTCGTTAAATAGATTACACAGCACGCTGACCTGGAAAACAGACAAACACTTTAATTCCATGTTCAAACTCAGTCTAAACTGACTGACAAGATTTTTCATCAGATCATGTGTACCGCACCTTCTGTCTGCAGAGAGGGCAGCTGATTGCATCCAACCAGGAGCCATGTCTCCAGTAGGCGATCAGACAGGGAGCTGCAGAATACAAACAAAAACCAACACTTTGTCATCTAACATTCAACAGTTTATACCATGTTGCATCATTGTAGTGAAACCGTGCTGAAGGTATGACCAGCAGTCAGAGAAGTTACAGTATTTCATCACTGTTAACGATAACAGACCCAAGTGTTTGCTTGATCGAGGGTTGCAAAGGCCCATGAAGGCCGAGGTAAGACACAGGTACAGTGATTACTGTGTTAGGGGTCTACAGTATGTTGGAGACATGACGGTCTAATTATAGCAGAGCTCTTGCTTGTCTGTAAGTGCTGGATGCCCTCTCCGTCAGGTTGACTGGTGCTGCTCTCATTACCATACTGAGTGCAAATGAGGAAGTTTGGTGAAGCGTGCTTTAGTATTTATGCTCCTGCTGTAGTTGCTCCAACAGCCTCGAGGTATGTTTCGACTCTCGCTGCCTCACGATGTTGCTGCTGTCTTTCAGTAATGATTTCTTCATCTTAGAAATCAAATATTTTGAGCATGCTCTTCTGTGACTGAGATGCGAAAAATGCATAAAAATTTCTTTCTGTCTTTCTTTTCTTTTCTTTTCAATTTCATTTCAAAGACGTTGCCTCATGTAATTGTGGTGGTGTGCTCCTTTCATGCAGTGTGTTTCAGGCCTGCCTCCTCCCCTGACCACACCCCAATTAGTGCCACATTATTTAAGGCCCTTGGTGGCTAGGTTCATTCTTTTGGCTCGTGTCATCTTCCTTGTTGCATCTGGTTGTTAGCAGCTTTGCTTTGATCCATTATCTGCACACAGTGCATGTGGAAATGCTGCTGTCCTGCCCATGAGTGATCCTGTTAGTGCCCGATGTTCGAGGTGGTTAACCTGCTGCTGTTTTGCTGTTTAGCACTTATTTTTGCTGTTATTAAACCAACTGGGTTGTTAGTTGTTTGTAACATTTTTTGAACAAATTCTTTTCTTTCAGTGAAGCGGAGTGCTATCTTGTTGAGAGGCTGGACACCTATGGTGAGGTCCCTGCACTTAATGCATGCGAGTAAAAGAATCGGGACACGAGTGTTGATTGCGCTGTTGTTTTGCTGTGTTGCACTGGAGGTGAACAGGTGGTGACACCCCTCAGTGTGGTTTGCCTCTCCATGACTGGCTCTGCTCACTTCCCCTAGTTTAGTTTAGTCTTGTGTTGGTCTGGATATTTTATGTAACTTGTGGTTTTATTTTGGATAAAGACTCTTTTAAGTTAATCGCAGTAAAGTATTTTAATTCCCCTGTTTTGCTACTTTTTGCTAAATTTAATAAAGCATTTGGTTTATTTTGACTTCACGTCTCTGTCCTTGTTTCAGTAATGAGCCTGTGTGCCCTATTCCTAATTTTCAGCTAAATTTAAGGTTCTTGAAAAGGTATTGTAATTACCCAGGTGGCGCTGTCTTTCCTCTTCTTACTTTCCACTTATCCCCCCTCGCCACATAATATTTGGGTGTATGGTGCCATAGAAAAATAGGACGGTCTGATATAATATCTAACCCAACTCAGAAGAATATGATGATATAACATGGTCATATGTACTTTTGTGAATTTGAACTTAAAGGTCCAGTGTGTAGGATTTAGTAGCATCTAGTGGTGAGGTTGCAGAACTGAAACTGCTGCCGTGTGCCACGTGTGCAGGAGAACTACGGCAGTCAGTGTGAAAATGCGAACGTTTGATTTGTCTGTTCTCAGCGATTGTAGAAACAACATGGCAGCCTCTGTAAAAGAGGAGCCGCTACATATGTAGATATAAACGGCTCATTCTAAGATCAATAAGTAGATGCATGCGGCTGAAATGAGTTTCCTCAGAAAAGTGGCTCGGGTAAGGAGTTCGGACATTCGGAGAGCCGCTCCTTCATGTTGAAAAGGGTCAGTTGAGGTGGTACGGGTGTGTGATCAGGATGCCTTTTGGGCGCCTCCTGTTGAGAGGTATTCGGGGCACGTCCTACTAGTAGGAGGCCTCAGGGCAGACCCAGAACACACTGGAGGGATTATATATCTCATCTGGCCTGGGAACACCTCGGGGTCCCCCAGGAGGAGCTGGAAAGCGTTGCCAGGGAGAGAGGTCTTGAATACTTTACTTGGCCTGCTGCCCACGCGACCCAACTTCGCAGTTGAAAATGGATGAATTCTAAGGTAACACATTTTCAGGTGATTAAAAACTAATAAAAACAGTTATGATAATCATATTACATTTCTGCCAGTAGATGTCACTAAATCGTCCACTCTGGACCTTTAAAAGTGTGACTCATATTACGCTTCTGTCCATCTGTGAACTGCTAATTGATTGCGTTTGTTTTGGGTGACCGGCAACACTACATGTTATATAACCGTACACCTTTGAGAAGAATGATTCGAGTAAAGCAGCCAGGTGAGAATTGGAAAACCATGGCAACAGTTAATTATTTGCAGCCGGACAGAAAGGCCTTGAGGCTTTAGTCACGCTGACGCTTCGCCGATCAGCCAATGAATGAATCAACAGGAGATATGAACACATGATGCAACCGTTGAGCAAGTGTGAGAGTGAATAAAACATGAATTAATCCAGTCTCATAGATGACAGATTGAAAGAACACACGAATGAAAGAACAAAGCTGCTCTGATATGTCGTGTGTTGAATGTCGTACCACAGAACAAATGGCCACAGTTGGTCTGGACTGGGAAGCTGGCCGTCTGTAAACACACTGGACAGTGCAAGTCTCGGCTTGTGGAAGGACACGACTGTGTAGGTTCCTGAAGAGATGAGAAGAGAAGAATACAGAGAAAAATGTTAAGAGACGAGGTGGAAAACAGGAAGAAGGAAATAGAAGCAATGTGAAAATAAGGAAGCAGGAAGAGGACAATGTGAAGACGAGAAAAAAACCTACAGCCAAATTAAATATTCCTGATTCTTTGATCTATATAATTAAAAACAATAATTATAATAGCTGCACAATAGACGTTTGGGGACGTTTGATCAAGCCAAGGTCTGGGGTTAGACATGTAAACAGATTATTATCATGTGTTTGGCAGCAACACCACACTGTGACCCTCATAAAAGCATTAATAATCGTAACACAGGAGCGCCTTCCAGTAATAATATTTACTGCCTGTGTGTGTGTCCTCGCGTCACTGTTTGTTTTACAGCAATAACAAAAATTCACTGAAGACCCAGCCTCAGCTTCACATGTGTGTGAGTGAATAAACGCTCACCTTGTGGCGGCTCATTAACGTTGATGCCGACTGCTCAGGGGTGCACACCAGAGATGTGGGTGACCCCAGGTGACTGTGACCCACTGGGCCTTCAGAGGGAAGACAGTCCAGTCTGCAACGTGACACAACACAGCGACAATGATAAATACTCCTAAAATACTGCTATTATCTCGCCAGTGATGAAATACTGACACAAAACTAACGATTTGTGAGATAAGGCCGACTGCACTCTGCTCTTTTCTATTTGTGGGTGACACATGCTGATGCTCTGACCGCAGCAGTTAGTTTACCAACAGGCTTTAAAATAATGAATTAATAATTTAGGTTGAAAGTTAGAAGCATAGATTTAAGAGATAATGTAGATAGTCAAATTAAATCAGGCTTCACAACTTCAGCATCACAATCTGGCTTTCATCTTCAAATTGCATTTACAGTTTATGTAATTAGTTAAAACAGATAAACACATTAACATGTCATTAATACGTCATACATGCATATCATGATAGTTTGTTTGTGGTTTGCACTCGTCTAAAACGTGTTTAACTTCATATTTTTTGGAGCTCTTTAAACAGATTAAAAGTAATAATATCAGTTGAAGATATCACATCACAATGTTTTTGATGGACCAAGCTGAGGTTTCCCCTGAACCCAAATCCCAAATCATCTGACTACAAAACACAGCCCCATGTGAGTTTTAAGAAAACAAACCCTTCAATACTTCCAAACATATGATGAGACTCACCTGGACTGGGAGCTCTGGTACGGGTGCATAGTTGAGTGAGAAACAGCAGCTGACAGGTAGTTACTGTCTCCCAGCAGGAAGTGAAGTGCAGCCTGACAGCATCACTGTACAAAATAAATTGGAGTTGCCTGTTAATGATCAACTACACCCTCCAATATCAGCTGGTCTCTGAGCCTCCCTGCTTAAAGGGAACGCTAATGGCGTCAGATCAATACAGCAGCAGTGCTGCTCCTACAGAACGCTTATAAAACACACAGAATATCTTGACCAACTTTATTGTTAAAGTATTAAAGTCATCACACTGGAACAAAGCCCTTTCCTTCAGTCTGCTCAGGGACAAACTATTTGGGGTCACATGACTTTCTGGCAGATCAAAGCAGTGCAGTGTTAAAGTAGGTCAGCTCTGACCTGCCAATCATTTACCCAAAGTTTACTCGGCCAACAAACCCACTTTGCATAATTCTACTCTCTAAAGTATTGGTTGTGAAATACATGTGAGTGTCCCTGACATTAACAATGTTATAAAGGTTGTAGGGAGGGGCCTCAGCTATACATAAAAACTATGGAAGCAGATAAGAGACAGACGTATTTGTATTTTAACAGTCACTGAATACTTGATATTGATATTTAAACACCACAGAATTCACAGCACTGAAATATTTTACTTTGAAAACAACATCTGAATTTAGTGGTTCTGATTCACAACACATTCTCACTCCGTCACATATCGAAGTTTGGTCAGGGACTTTCCACGTCCAGATTTCCACACCGTGTTAAGTTCAACCTGATACATGCATTGTCTTCTTTCAAAATACACTTCCGTTTTCACAGGAAATTTACCTTTACATACAGTCTCTTTCAAAATAAACGAGTGATGGTTAGATTTAGGCAACAAGAGCGCGTGGTTGGGTGTAGGAAAAAAGAACAGGGTTTGGGACACAAACACCACTCTCCTGGGTGAAGGTTACTGTTTGTTGGACCCCTCCTGCCCGCCCTACTCAGACCTTCATCGCCTTAACTTTCGTACATGTCCCGCCACGTTTCCCCTGACGCCACCGAGCACCATTAGAGTATAACGTGACCGGCTGCGTATCATGAAGACGTTAAAGGACAGCTTTTTCAGTGACTGTCGCTGCAAGTCTCTGCCCAAGTGAGTGAGGCCGGATTAAAATTCACCTCTTTGAAACTATGATTTAAAATGTCTTGATTTGCAATTTCAAAAGCTGAATTTGTTTTCAGTGTTTGCAAGTTTAGATCCAACAATTTAAGTTTCAGAATTCAAGAAAGGAAGAAAGAAAATATTCAGGTTGCTCAAATTTGATTGGTCAAATTCAGATCTAAAAATCCAAGTTGAAAAGATTCAAAAAGAAAATCAGTGAAATTCAGTTGGTCAAACATTCAGGCTTGAAAAAAAATCTGTGAAACCACAAAACAGATTTGAGCTTTATGAACATATATTACTGTTTTACCACAAGGTGGCTACTCTGCAGTGGCTGTTTATTAGTTTTGGCACTTAAACTTTACAGCGTTTGCAAAGAAAGTAAATGAATCTGTCCTGGCATTACTAAATTCTCTATTTTCTTCAAAGACTTTTACTTTTTTGGATTTGAAATCCACAGGTAGCCTTGACAGGAGACCAAAGACTAGCCAACACTGCTGAGGGTCAGCAAAATTTAGAGGAGAAGGGGCCAGGTCGTGCACGAATAAAACAAAACCAGCAGGAGCCATTTGAGAAGAGCTAAAG